TCTCAAATAATAGTTTAGTCTCTAATAAAAATTAATCAATAAGTTATAACAAAAATATAATAAATACAATAAGTACAATAAATTAAATTTTCTATTAAATAGCAAAACAAAATAAATTTATATATAATCATTGAAAATACATTTATCACAAAAACAATAAATAATTATTAAATACAATAAATATTAATTTTAGTATATATAATTATATAATAAATACAGATTACGAGTTTAAAATTATAATAAATAAATTTTATCTTTTGAAAGTTATTTTCTTGAATTATTACTTGCTATAAGTGAAATTAGTTATTTATAATATTATGTAAAAATATTAAATTATTATTCATTTCATTATTATGTTATAATTATTTTTCTAATTTATGCTATAAAAATATTAAAAATATTAAATTATTATCCATAAAATCATAATTTATATTATTATTACATAATTTCATTATAAATTTTTTAATATTTTAAATTATTAATAATTTCAATATTGTGTTAGAAATTTTTTTCTACTTTGAAGAAATTTTTTAAATTTATTACATAATTTCATTATAAATTTACTTATGTTTTTTAATAAATATTTTAAAGTTACTATATAATTTTGTTAGAATATTTAAATAATTCTTAATTTTTTTTAATCTAAACTTTGTTTAGATAGATATAGATAAAAAGTAGGGGAGAGGATAAATAGGAATTAGAAATAATTTAGGAGAAACTCTCTACTAAATTAGAGATAACTTTTGAGATAAATAGGAATTAGAGATAATTTTGGAGAAAGTAGGGGATAGTGGGGGAGGTAGTTTAGGAGAGGAGATTATTTAGGTTATTGGGAAAGTGCATCTCATTGGTTGTCTTGAAAATGACATGGAATAAAAATAATAAAAAATTCAAAAAAAAGGAGAAAATTTCTTGTCCTCCTTGTTTTAATATATATACTAGCGGGGACCTGTGCTATGCAAGGGATTTCTTAAGAAAAGCTAAACAATAAAACACATAGGAGTATACAATTGTTTTATATTTCTAATTTTTTAAATAATGATTAACTATTTATATTTTATAATACTTTTAAGAACTTTTTACAATACAGAAATAACAATAATTTATTTCAGCTAAGCTTGTTCATCAAACTAACAAAACCAACCAACCCGACCAACTTGACCTGAATTGCTCAGCTTCTAATATTTTCGGTTGAAATTGAAATCAGTTTCGCTGTGGCCATTTGTAAATTGACCAAAATTAAATGACCCAATCATAGATATATATTAATATTTTTATATTTTAAATATAATTTTTAATATGTGAAAGTGGGGAAATTCTCATATTTCTTAGTCTCAAATATTTTTATATTATAAATTTATTTTTTAATAATGTTAATGTAATTTTTAAAATTTAAAATTAAGTTTTCAATGTAATCTTTTAAACCAATTGAGCAAACTGAAAATCAATCCAAACAAATACAACACGACTATGTTGATTTGATTGGCCAAATAGCCTACAACCGAACTAAACCAGATTGTGATCCACAGTCCTAATTTCATCTAAATTAATATTTTACTCTCTAATAAACAAAAGTAGTTTAATCTCCAATAATTATTAAAAATTTATATAAAAAATGCACAATAATTAAGAATATATTGATAATGAAAATAAAATAAATAACTAATAAAATAAAATAATTATAATTGTTACAAAAATGCTAAAAAATATGTTAAGTTAGTTAATAAATATTGTAATCTCATATAATAGTTTAATCTCTAATAAATATCAATGAATAAAGTACAACAAAAATACAATAACTATAATAAATTAAATTCAAAAAGTTAAATAATAGAAGTTTAATATACAATAATTATTAAAAATTTTCTATTAAATAACAAAAGAAATATAGATTTATACAAAATTATTGAAAATATATTTATAAAAACTATAAATAATTGCTGAAGTTACAATAAATATTAATTTCAGTATATTATATATATAATAAATATAGATTAAGATTTTAAAATCATTATTAAGGAATATTATTTTTTTGAAAGTTATTTTCTAGAATTATTAATTGATATAAGTGAAATTGGTTATTTAAAATATTATTTAGTTATTTAAACAATATCCATATTTCCATTTTATAATTTAATTATTAATTGAATTTCATAACTTATAAAATTATAATTTATTCTATTATTACATAATTCCGTTATTAATTTTGTAAAAAAAAATTAATATTATGTTTTGATTTTTTTTTTAATTTTATAATTTATTTCATAATTTCGTTATTTTAACTATTTAAAATATAGTTATGTTAAATCTTTCATTATATAAAATATTTAGTTATTTAATTATTTATATAGTATATAAAATATTGAAAAATACCATTGTTTGAATTTAAGATATTTAGTTATTGAAATATTGAAATATTATTTTACTTTTTTAATGTTAAATTTATATTATTTGAATAGTCTGAAAAATCATAATTTATATTGTTAGTTCATAATTTCGTGATGAATTTTGTAAAAATATAAAACTATTGATAATATAAATATTATTATATCTATTATAATTATTTTTTTTGTATTTTTAATAAATAATTTGAAGCTTATACTATAATTACATAATTTCTTTATTAATTTTGTAAAAATATTAAGTTATTATTAATTTGAATATTATGTTATGACTTTTTTTATTTTAAGATTTTTTCATTTTATGCATAATTTCATTATTTTAACTATTTAAAATATAGTTATGTTAAATATTTCGTTATTTAAAATACTTAGTTATTTAAATATTCAAATAATATATAAAATATTTAAATAAACTCATTATTTGAATTTGAGATATTTAATTATTACAATATTTAAATAATTAAACCTTTTTCTATGTAATTATTTAGATATATTTTTATTTATTATTGAAGATATTTAGTTATTGAAATATTGAAATAATATTTTATTTTTTAATGTTAAAATTCTTTTATTTGAATTACACTTAATTTGAATAATCTGGAAAATCATAATTTATATTCTTAGTACATAATTTCATGATGAATTTAGTAAAAATATAAGAATATTAATAATATGAATATTATTAAATCTATTATAATTATTATTTGTGTTTTTAATAGTTATTTTAAAGTTTATACTATTATTACATAATTTCATTATTAATTTTGTAAAAATATTAAAAGTTATTAATTTGAATATTATGTTATGATTTTTTTTTATCTTAAGATTTTTTTTATTTTATTGCATAATTTATTTATTTTAACTATTTAAAATATATTTATGTTGAATATTTCGTTATTTAAAATATTTAGTTATTCAAATATTTAAATAATATTTAAAATATTTAAAAATACTCATTATTTGAATTTAAGATATTTAGTTATTGAATTATTGAAATTATATTTTATTTTTTAATGTTAAATTTTTATTATTTGAATAACATTTAATTTGATAATCTGAAAAATCATAATTTTTATTGTTAGTAGATAATTTTGTGATGAATTTTGTAGAAATATAAAACTATTAGTAAATCTATTATAATTATTTTTATGTTTTTAATAAATATTTTAAAGTTGTTATATAATTTGTTAAAATATTTAAATAATTTTTAAAATTTTAATTTAAACTTTCTTTAGATAGATATAGATAAAAAGTGGCAAAGAGGATAAATAGGAATTATAGATAATTTGGAGAGAAATTCTCTAATAAAGTAGAGATAAGTTAGGAGATAAATAGGAATTGGAGATGATTTAGGAGAAAGTGGGGGAGGTAGTTTAGGATAAATTTTAGGATAGGAGATTGTTGGGGAAGGAGAGCATCTCATTGGTTCTTTAAAAAATGAAATGGAATAAAAAACAAAAAATTCAAAAAAAAAGAGAAAATTTCTTNTATATATATATATATATTAATCCTATGTTTTATTAGTATTTGTATTTTTTAATGTTTTTATTGGTTCTTAGTATAAGATTCGGAAAAAAAAACTGTTTGAAGTAACTATAATTTATTATGAGCTATTACTTATGATAGATCTTTTATGGGCAGCAATCTATGGGCGGAAAACATCAAAGAGGAGGTGAAGAATAAAATATTCAAAAAACATTAAAATATGTTACTAAGGTTAATTTTAGTCATTCCATTTGGGATTAAGTGAAGCAATCATCTTAAAAGAAAGACATAATAGTATTATATCAATGTTTGATATATCATATATAATGTATTATAGTGTTGGGTTCGGGTTAGGCCAGGTTGCCCAAGAGGTCAACCCTAACCCGATCCAAAGTAAAGCCGGGTTCATGAATTTCAACCATAACCCTAACCCGAGCATCAATCTAACCTGGCCCAAGTTGCAGCCTTACTGGATATGCAGCAACTGTAACATCTTGTAGGTGGCATTTGGAAAAGAAAGAAAAACTAATGACCTAACCAACTAATCTAATACAGATTAAAGCTGACCCTAGTTTACCATTTACCTGACCGAAAACATTATGGTTGTGTTTGGTATCATTACTGTTTTTACCTACTTGAAAACCATTTGGGCTAAACAATATAAATTGGTGAGAAGTATATTTTCACATTACATATAAGAATCGTTTCAACTATGACTAATACCCCTGTTTCTACCTAAAACATCAATTTGATGACTATACAAACAGCCTTTCACACACAATTTTTTCTTTCAACTATAAACAGCCACAAATAATAATTGTACGCCAATTTGTATTGATGAATCAAAATGTTTAAGGTAGAAACAGCTATGATACCAAACACAACCTATTGATGATGATGATGATTCATGCTGAAACATTTCTCCAATGTACTAGTTATCTTACAGTGCTTGTTGAGTATCTTATTTATTACAATATGAATAAACCCAATAAAGAATCAGACTGTAATGCAGACAGCAAACGAGATAATTAATAAAATTAAATCCAATTCAAAACTGCATCAAAATTTCTCTTTTTACAAGGGATTGCTTTTTTATTAAATCCTTCACGGGGGATTTTAACTCTTAAAAAGATTAGTAGGAGTTTATAACCTATGTACATTCAGGTAGATGATCAAATACTTTTTATTTAGATAAGTAGTCTATTACAATTTTCCTGATACGAGGGAAAATTGTGAAATAGGTCTCAGTGGCACTGAAGACAGTAACAAAAAAAGCAATAGTAGTCCAAGGACTATTGAAGTGTGTGCGTAATATTTCAACTATCCAAATTCTCCTTCTCTTCTTGCTGTATTTATGGATATCCTTCTTGATGGTCTGATATGCATCAGGATCTGTCAAGCCCCTCCCCATCTGGTTAATGAGATTGGCTGCTTCTTCATCACTTCGAAGATTATTGAAGAGTATTCCCTCTACTCTTAGCTCCTTTACATCATCAGGATGATTAATGAGAGAATCCAGGAAACAGATGTAGGATGTTATGTTGAAACCACTAAGATCACAACAACATCTCTCATAGGCTATCAAGTTCAGAAACCTAGTCTGGGTTGAATTATCAATGACTATTGGGGGAAGCAAGATATTTCCATAGATGAGGCCAGGTTGGAAATGGACACTTCTGAAACTGAAGGATTCACTCATTTTGAAATTGATTCCCACTGCTTTGAGCTCCTTTACTGAAGGAAAAGAATACCAAAGCTTATCCCGCCTTCGTCGTCGTCGAAACTGGAATAGAGATATGAAGAGCAACCACAGGAGTACCACAAGAATCATGACCTTGAAATATATCTTCTTTAGGGTCCACTGGAGAAAGCCAAAGCTCCTTCTGTAGGCCCACTTTAGCAAACTAAATTTCCTTTTGCAAGGCTCTTGAAGAAAAGAAAGAAGTATTGGGAGCTTGGGCCATGCAATAAGCAGGATCATGAGCAAACTATTATAAGTTAAGTGCAGAACATGGAACAAACCAGAACAAAGATAAAACAGCCACTTGAGCAAGGCAGAACAAACATATAGCAGCCTCCTGAAAGAGGCAAAACAAACATACAACATCCATTTGGGCAAGTAATAATAGTCTCTTCCTGGTTCAGAACAATTGTTTTTGAGCAGTATAGCTCGAAGAAGGTCGAGGAGATGAAAAGCTTTGGGCATTTCTTCATTCTGAGACACAGGGTAGAAACCCATGTTGAATTCATCAACCTCAGAGACTATACCATTAACTTTCTTGACAAATTCCTCTACCATTCTCTTCCACTCAGTTTGAGGGAATATTGCACTCATCAGAGCTTTAAGGACTAAAAATGGTAGTTGGTTCTCCAGTAAGAACATGTCCCTTCCTATAGAAACTATTGCATCATTATTTATTTCTAGTTCCTTGAGATTGTCCTTCACAACACAGTAAATGAAGTAGGCAACAAAACAACCATCCAAGAACATTATACGCAGGAATTTTTCATCCTCAAGCTTTTCAACTGAACCCTCTGCATAGAAATCCCTCGCTCTTGGTGCTACCTTTGCAACTTCATTGTACAAGAATTCAATTCTTTTGTTGCTGCGTGAAACTAATTTTTGTGCTATTCTTTTCTTAAGCTTCTCCACTTGCTCCAACTCAGGTTTTCCATGATGATAAGGACCAACAGAAACAACCATGGGATCATAGATTCTATTGCTGTCTTTGACATCTCGCATTATCTTGGGCACCTTTTGCATTCTGGGCTTGTTTTGAGATCTAGTGGTTTTTTGCTCACAATTCATTATTGAGGCCAACCAATCGCTATTAGGGTTGTTTAGGTAAGAGTTTGAGGTATCTATGATATTGGTTTGCATCTTCTTGCATTTCTTTGGCTTCTTCTGTGAATCCCAGCTGCTACTCATTTTACTCTTGTAGTCCAAGTACAAACTAAGGAGAAAAAAATTAAAATGAAGTCAATATTTAGTTTTGTTAAATTCTACTTCTATGAGAATGGAACAATGTATGACTGATTTAGATGGACACCATGAGGTAGGTCCATGGCACAGCAGGCTGCACCAAAATGTAACCCCATTAAGACTTCTTGGTTCAGCCTAAATAATAACACCCACAAGCGTCTTAAGTTGTGTTTGGTTTAAAAGAGAACAAGATATAGAAACAGAACGTCGGGGGAAAGTTCTTTAACAACTTTCACAAAACCCCTTGAGAACTTCATCCCAATTTCCTGTTTCTCTCCTTATTTTCTGTCAAACCAAACATAGCCTTAATGTATATACATGTGTCATTTGAATCCACCTCACATTAGCTTGGGAAAATTTTGGCTATGTTCTATATCCTCTGCTGTTCATAGAGATTTCCCTGTCTAACAGTTAGTCTAATATGAACTTCATGTTACAGTAGTAGTGTCGAAGTCTGAAGGCATTACTGTATGGGCTAATGTGTTGTCTTGTAGAGAATAGGGATATCTGATGAATACTTTGGACCATTTTGGACCAGTCCAATTCAATGTTTGGACCATTCAATCTGTTCAAATTAATTTTAATTTAGATTGTTTCCAACCTAATCCTGGTCCATTAACACCTTATTGTTATCTTCTATCAATAGACAGATGTTGGTTTAGTCTGACCCAATCCAATATAAATCCATTATGGATGGACTAGGTCCAATCCAATCTAATAAATATTTTGGACCATTAAGTCTGGACTAGTTCAATTCAATATGTCTTATTAGTTTTTCCAATCCATCCAATTGATTTTGATTTGGACACGATCCAGCCCAAAACAGGTCCATTGACACTCTTAATAGAAAGAATCCTTTACACAATAAGGCTGTGTTTGGTTTGAAGGGAAAAGTAGGGAAAGGAAGGGAAAGGAAGGAAATTCTATACAAAGTTTGTAAAGGTTTCCCTACCTTTCCTTTCCTTTCCCTACTTTTTCCTTCAAACCAAATATAGCCTAAAGGTTGTTATGTCAAGGAAGTATTCAACTTAAAAGCTTAAAGCTGTTAGGTGTACCTATATAGGTATTTATTTTCTAACATGTTAAATGGGGATGCCAAAGTTTTGTCCATTAGCTGACACAAACTAGCTGTAGCAGTAATGGGTGCTGGATCTCTGGCTGTATGAATTAACAGCTCACCTAGGAGCTCCATAGACAGGCCAGGCTGTCAAACATGAACAGTCTAGGAAATCAACTACAAGTCTGGCATAGCATCTTGCCCTTCTGGGGTAGGGATCTGCTACCAATATACAACGCTCCCAACAGGCCATTGCAGCTGCATATTGGGAACATTTCCCTTAACATTCATGAAAAAATGTTCCCAATGTATGGTTGCAATGGCTAGTTGAGACATTGTTGGCACCGTCTGTGTTGATAGCTAGATGTTAAAGCCACCTCATATAAAATTCAAAGTTCTTCAGAAAACAATGAAGGCATGGCCTTACCCGCCTCCACTTCCTGGAAAACCAATGACACCTTAGTGGTATGAGTGAAACATTTTCCACATATTCCAACTTATAAATTTTTCAATTATCCTAAAAATTTGCGACCAATGAACCAGTATCATAAATTTGGTAGCCAATCAGGTGATATTTATCAAAATTCAGAGGTGGATTTTTGATTAGTTATGTTTTTCAGTCATATCATAGAGGCTTTTCAAGAGGTAAGACTTCTAGGCTATGTTTGATTTGATGGATCCCTCAATATTTTTTTTTTTTTTTATCTTATTTCTTATTTTCTACAATCCAGAAAACAAAAACACAGTCTTAGGCTCAGTTTGAAAAGAGTGCAACTACAAATATGTAAAGTGTAAAATCTTATATTTTATATTATTATATATACATCTGTACTGTACTATATATATTTGAATTTATACCCCTTCCAAACAGAACTTTAAAGAATCCATTTGCGACAGGTGACTTACCGCAAGGGAGCCAACGGGTTTTGTGGTTGTGCAGTTGCCTTGAATTGAGTGTACCGCCAAGAAGAGAACACCTTATAAACGCTCCGGTTGTTCAGAGAAACAACAATAATGAATCAAGAGAGCTCAGCTCACGGATTTGCGTTGCCCGTTACCCACGAAATGCTCTCTTCTTAGATGCTGTTATGATTTATGAATGTAGGGGACTTCGATGGGTCAAGTGTCAACAGTCAGGACCTTTCAAAAACGCGTACTTCCATATATTTCAGCCAATAAAGATTACAGATGGACCAAGTCTTGTTTGGCTTATACCTTGCTGCTATGTCAAGGAAATTCACTGAAATTAAGGAATTCAATTAATCAATTTCTCTCACTCACAAGGATACTTGCGATCTTCGTGGAAGGAGAAGCTCTTCTTCTACGTACCCGATATTCGTGCAAACTTGAATAAAGAAACATCCCTCAACTCTCCTTGTTATTTGACATTTCAACACCTTTCTGCAATGCATATAACGTGATTTTTAAATGTTTCATAGTTGAACTCTTTTTGTTTTTTTTTTGCATAATATTCATTAATAACCTCAGCTCTTAGGGGCCAAGACTACCGAGTCCTAAAGTATTTTAAATTCATAGTTCATGTCAGTGTAATCATGTTGGAGATATGGTTTCAGAAATATTAGAGAATAAAAATACCATATCTTTAGAATATTATTTGCCCCCATTCAGTGATTGAGTCTATGGTTGGGTTGTAAGCAAATTCATACCTAAGGCTGTATTTGGTTGCAATGCAACTAAATTTGCACTGATGCAAAACTATGAAAGTGCAAATTATTTGAATGTAAATTCCGACCTATTTTTGTTTCAAAAATTAGCTTATCTTGTTTAATTGTAGTACAAATGAAGTAAATTAAGACCTGAAGCAAAATAATGTAAAACCCAAAACAAAATTAAATGAGAATTTACATTTTTTTTTCATTTTCACCTCCATAGATTTGTTCTAGTGCAAATAAAATTGCACTGCAACCAAACACAGCCCAAGGCTTATGGAGGGAGTACAAATACAAATATGTACGGTATAAATACATACAAAATAATACAAACTATATAGTTTTGCACTCTACATATTTGTATTTGTACTCCTTCCAAGGCTCGGTTTAAAAGGAGTACAAATACAAACACAATGTAAAACCTTGCATTTTGTATTTGTATTGTACATATTTGTGTTTGTATTCCTTCCAAATTGAGCTGAGCCTAAGATACAATAGAGCATTGGATCAGAAAATGCAACCAACAAAATTGAAGACTCTGTAAGGAAATCTTTTATGAATTATGTAAAATAGCTTGACTTACACTTATTTTATAGATTCTGAAGAGTTACCATGAAAAAGAACAAGGTTATTTGAGGAGGTTTTTCATACCATCACAAATTTGAATTAAATGTTTCTAGTTAATTAGTTAACAATTAATGACCGTTAACATTTAAATGATATCCCTTCACTACACTTGATCAAGTCATGACCATTGGATTTAATTTAAAAAATCAATGGTCACATTAATTTCAGCCTCCCAAGAGTGCTATATCCCACACACCTCTATATGAGCTTGTACAATTCGTTGACAACAGGCCTAGAGCAGAATGCCAAATTCTGGGATGAATAATAGATGAGTTCGAAGGGTCATTTATATAGAAAGAGAAAGTTATAGAAATTACAAAGAGGCCCTTCTAGAGCAACACAATTTAGAGAATTTACAAGGAGGCCCTTGTAGGGCTGAAGTGAAAATAATAATAAATAAGAAAACAATACAATAAGGACTACAATAAAATGATACATCAGGGAGTTTCTTCACACTGCCCCCTCAAACTGATGTAGAGGCATGAGCATAAGTTTGCTCTCAAGAAATAAGTATCTGGATCTCGTCATGGCCTTTGTGAAAGTGTCAGCAACTTGCATATCAGAGGCAATATGAAGGAGAGAGATTGAATTTGTAAGAAATAGATCATGGATAAAGTGGCAATCCACCTCAATATGCTTTGTCCTTTCATGAAAGACAGGATTAGAAACAATTTTAATAGCACTAGTGTTATCCACGTACAAAGGAATGGGCATAGGAGAGGAATGTCCCAACTCCTAAAATAAAGATTGAAGCCAAACAACTACACTACAAACAAATGGCATTTCCCTGTACTCTGCTTCCATAGAGGACTTGGAAATAGTCTGTTGTTTCTTGCACTTCCATGATAGTAGAGAGTCACCCATGAAGACACACCATCCGGTAGTGGAGCATCGTGTGTTGGGGCATCTAGCCCAATTTTCATCAGCATAGGCTTTCAATTGGAGAGAAGAAAAGACCCTATGATAAAGAACCTCGAATATATCGGATGATTTGATACACCACAGTCAAATGAGATTGACGAGGTGTAGAGACAAACTGACTAACAACCTGAACTGCATGTGAGATGTCAAGACGAGTCATGGTTAGATAGATGAGAGAACCTACAAGTTGCCGGTAGAGGGAAGCATCAGGAAGTAGGGAGCCTTCTGATTTGGATAATTTGACATTCAACTCCAAGGGAGTATCAACCTGTTTATTATCACTGAGGTTGGCCAACTTAACAATATTAGAGGCATACTTGTGTTGGCAGACAAAATAACCTCGAGAGCTCCTTTGTACTTCAAGTCCTAAGAAATAGTTAAGAGGGCCAAGATCCTTCATGTGGAAGGAACTATGGAGAAGAGACTTGAGGTCCTGGATTCCTTCTATATCATCTCCAATCAATAGTATGCCATCCACATACAATAAGAGAATGGTAAGGCCCTGGGTTCTTTTCCAAACAAAGAAAAAGTAATCTGATGCACTTTGGCTATATCCGACTTACACGACAACATCTCTGAATTTTTCAAACCAAGCTCAAGAGGCTTGTTTGAGTCCATAGAGGGACTTCTTTAGTCGACAAACGAGGGTAGTACCCTGGAGGAAGTTTCATATATACTGTTTCCTTTAGATGCCCATATAAAAAGGCATTTTCCACATCCAGTTGAAAGATTGTCCAAGAGTGAGCACCAGAAAGAGCTAAAAGAACACAGACTATAGCAATCTTAGCTACTGGAGCAAAAGTATCTTCATAGACAATGCCATACTCCTGCTTATATCCTTGTGCCATAAGCTTGGCTTTGTAACGGTTTCGAGACCCATCAGATTTTAGCTTGATGGAATAGACCCATTTGAAGGTGTTGGGACAAGGTCCCACGTGTCATTCTCATGCAAAGCTTGAATCTCTGCATCCATGGCTTCTTGCCACTAAGGGCTGCTACTAGCCTGCTGGTAAGAGCGGAGAATATTTGTAGAGGTCAAAACAACAGAGAAGAAGCTATGGTTTGAAGGAAACCCATAGCAGTCAGGTGGTTTGGAGATACGAGCAGAATGACATAAAGGAAGAGGAGGAATAATTAAGGAATCTAAGGCTGGAACATCACTTACAGGGTTGTCTAAGATGGGCGAAGGATCCAGACCAGGAGGAAGAGGGGTCGTAAGCATAGGAGATGGACCACGAACCCATTTGCGAGAGAAGATGAGAAGTTCCTTCTCAGTAGTGGATGATGGAGAATCCTATTGTTCAAAACCATGCAAAACTAAAACAAAGAAAGCAAATAACTTGGCAATTCCTGAAAAAAAGAAGATATGCTCAAGAAAAATCACATTTCAAGAGATACAAATTCGACATGTTGAGGGATCGTAACAAATGAATCCCTTGTGATTTAGGCTATACCCTACAAAAGCACACATGACAGATTGTGCTGAAAGCTTTAAACGTTCACGAGGAGGAAGATGAACAAAGCATAGACACCCAAAGACATGAAGACATGAAAGATCTAGGGGGTATCCAAACATCTTTTGATGAGGAGAAATGTTAGCAAGCACAGATGATGGGATACGATTGATCAGATATACTGCAATGTTAGTGGCCTTAACCCAGAATGTGGGAGGTGCATGTGATTCTTGTAGGAGAGTCCTTAAAACATTGAGAATGTGACCATTCTTTCTCTCCGCCACACCATTTTGCTGAGGAGTGTCTGGGCAGCATCATTGGACTTGTACGCCATGATGTTTTAGGTAAGCCAAAAAAATCTCTACCACTGTATTCTCCCCCTGAGTCTGAGCGTAAGATTTGCACATTCACTTGGAAATGAAATTGAACCATGTTATGAAACAACCTAAAGGTTGGAAACACTTCTGATTTGTGTTTGAGAAAGTAGATCCAAGTGTACCTGGTACAATCATCAATAAATAACACAAAATACTTGTATTCCATCCGAGAGACAACAGAAGAACTCCAAACATCACTATGAATGATTTCAAAAGGTGAAGTAGCATGTTCAGCTCGGTGAATGAATGAAAAAATATGGCTCTTACTCAAATAACCAGAAACACAAGATGTATCAAAGGATTTCATAGAAGGAATTTTAGTTTTAATAAAACCGAACTCAAACAAGTATTTAAGTTTATTAGAATTTGGGTGACTCAAAATAGGACTCAATGTAGAAGAGCTCAAAAAAGTAGAGGATGATGCTAATGGAGAGTTCTCAAACTTCAATGCAAACAAGCGGCCCATCCTACGCCCCTTTCCTTTCACATTCCTAGTGCAGGGTCCTCAATTAAACAACCATAAGAAGAAAAGGTTAGAATATGACCTTCATCAATTAATTGACCAATTGAAATAAGGTTGGCAGTAAGATTAGGAACAAGGAAGTTTTAGCAAGGGACAAGGAATTTGAGGGAGAAAGTTTGATACACAAGTCATCACTCCCAATGATGTCAAGTTTCTCACCATTAGCAGTGACAATGTGCCTATGGGTGGTTTTAGACAATCTGTTTAGAGGTTTAGGATAGGCCCCAGTCATATGATTTATAGCACCAAAATCAATTATTCAAACGGGAAAAGAGCAATAACCGGAGAACTCACCAGATAGGCCGATAGCAGAAAAGGCAAATGAAATGGCAAAAGATACCAGTTGTTGTATCTTTTCTTTATTCATTGAAGCAAAGGATTCTCCCTTGGCAATGGTGGTATCAGATACTCGTCCTTCAAATGCTTGATAAGCGTGTGACTGATTCTTCTTCATAGGTCCCTTGGATGGACGAATTGGGC